TTGTGGTGTAAACAATTCAATCTCCACCCGTGTAGTTGCAGCTACACGGGTGGTCTTAACAAACAACCATGGTTGTTGTTTAAGACAGGCGTACGTGGCGCCAGAGCGGAAATACCAATCTGAAACCTATTTATCATCTATCCGTGTAACTGTTCAGTATCTCAAGCGCCAAGATCTCAACCGCTGAGGACGCCACAGGTGAAACGCCTGGTCTACCCTTACGACGAGCCCGGTGGTACGACAGGGACGAGCTATTCACGAGGAAGAGGAACGATGGAGTACGAGGCATATAAGGAGCAGGTGGAGGAGCAGTTGCGGCACGAGGAATACGATGAGGAGGAGGAGGAAGAGGAGGACGAGGAGGAGAATGAGTTGTAGCGCGGAAGGAGGGAGCAGGAGGAGGCGGAGGCGGAGGAGGACGGGGCGAATGGAACAGTGCATCGACAAGGAGGAGGGGTCGGGGAGAGGGGGGAGGAGGCGGCGGAGGAAGGCCGTTTGTCGGAACTCTGCCCCCCGCGGTCGCCCGCGGCGTCGCTTCCGCCCGCACGGCCGCCCTCGGGGGTGCCGGCCTCAGCGCGCCGTCGCGCCATCGGAGGTGGGCGGCGCGCGTACCACGAAGGCGCGACCAACCGCAACTACAACATCGTCCACCAGCGGGACACCATCACTCACCAACTGTTGACCTACAAGGCGGACGCTCTTAACATCAGCCAAGGGCTACGAGGACTACCCACGTTGGTGGGGACCTGTCGGCAAGCATGCCGAGAGCAAACAGTAGTGCTGATGTACACAATCAAACATTTTATACAGCCTCGGTCCGACAATATCTTGATCATTGCAATGGTCGCCCTCGCGAGGGCGTCCAGGTACGAAAGCAAGCACTACACAAAACACGACGCCAAGTTCGACTCATAGTAAAACAACACAAGGTACGGCATTAGGCGCGACATGACCGAACAACTAGAAAAAGCATTACTGAGTTCATCGTCGTGGCGATACCGGTGGACTACGACTGCGCCGCCTACGCCGAGAATTGCGACCACTACGACCAGTCCGACCACCAGTGCGACCAGTACGAAAGGTACGACCAGTACGACCATCAGTACGTGGTCGACGACCGCCTGCGAGGGGTACCAGCAGGGCCACGAGAGCCACCAGCTGAGCTACGAGTGCCACCAGCTGGGCCGCGAGGGCCGCTGCGTGAGTTTCGAGGGCCACAGGCTGACCCTGGGGAGCCAACAGCAGGGCTGCAAGCATAGCTGCGAGACCCACCGGCCGAGGTGCGAGGGCCACCCTGCAGATATACGAGGACCACGTCTTGATGTGCGAGGGCCTGTGCCTCCCCTGCCCCCACGGGCGCTGCAACCCGAGGCAGACCAGGGCAGAAGCATTGGCAAGAATATCAATATGGGTATCCACCCACGCGGCGGCACCCCTCTCCTAGCTCCGCGGGCTAGGTCGCCAAGGATCCCCCCATCGTCGCGACGGCAGGATTCGACCGAACTACTACGAGGGCCACCAGCTGAATTCCGAGGGGCAACAACAGAGCTACTACCGCAAGGGGCAGACTTTAGAGGGCCACCCACTCAGCTTCAAGAGCCACCAGCTGAGCTTGGCGAGCCGCGCGCAGAGCTACGAGGACCACAGGCTGAGCTGCAACGACCACGCGCAGAGCCACGAGGGCCTAAAACAGGCCTACCCGGACCTCTGGCCGACCTACCAGGACGACACGCGGAGGAGGAGGAGGAGGAGGAGGAGGCGGAGGAGGAGGAGGAGTTGGAGGAAGAGGAGGAGTAGGAGGTGCTGGAAGTGGCACAGGAGGCCTGGAGGGCTGGGCGAGTCCAGAAGGCACGGGAGGCCATGACGGCGGAGGAGACAAGGGAGGGTGGGACGAAGACGGAGGAGGCCTGGATGGCGGAGGAGAGACGAGTCGGGTGTTTCAGGTAGAGTCGAGAAGGACGGCGGAAACACATCGGCAAGAGGAGGTGAAGGTGGAGCAGCGTTTCGACGTCGAGGATGGCCAGAATATGGAGCTCGAGATGGCCAAGCGGGCGCGCACGGCCGTCCTTGCGAGACGCCAGGCCATCGAAAGCCGGGCGAAGAAACCATATCTCGGACCCGCAGCTGCTGATCTTCATCCTGGAGCTACCGTACCCCAGGATGGAACTGGTGAGCCCTGTTCGGCATCATAAGCATTCGTCAAGGCTCAGGGTGGGAGTGGGGAAATGAGGAACCGCTAAGAATGAGGGCACCAGGAAATCGGAGGAGGGCGGGACGGCAGAGGCAGGCAGGAAGGCCGGAGAAACTGAAGAGGCTGGTGAAGCCCAGGAGACCAGCACGGCCGCGAGGGCCAAGAAGGCATCGGAGTCTCAGAAGGCCAGGAAGGCCAAGAAGGCGCAGAAGGCAGGGAAAACCGCCGACACCATGAACGCAGAGGAGGACCCGAGGACTCAGGAGGGTACTGCTATATAGCAGTAGGGCGGCATTTGTCGCTACACACGGCGACGAGGGCAACGACGTGCACGACAACCACGAGGACTCGGATGAGGAGGAGGAGGAGGAGGAGGAGGAGGAGGAGGAGGAGGAGGAGGGGATTTCGAGTGGGATGAGGGGGAGGAGCTGGATCGCGGTAGGAGGGGAAGATCGCGCTGCCAGACACGGATGAGGCCAGGGGCAGCCCCCTGAAAGCCAGCGGGTCCACCACGTCCGCGGTTGGCACTCGTCACAGGGGGGAGAGGGAGGAGGGAGAATGGAGGGGAGGGGGAGGAGGAGGAGGAGGAGGAGGGGATGGAGGGAGGAGGATATGAGGAGGAGGAGGAGGGAGGAAGGAGGAGGAGGAGGAGGAGGAGGAGGAGGAGGGGGCGGCGCGAGGAGGGGGATGTTCAGGTGGAGGTTGCCCGCCGAACCGCATCACTCGCCGCGCAGTGCGCCCCCCCCTCTCCCCCTCGCGCGGGCGGCGGCGCCCCAGGCGCTCGAGGCCCAGCTCGCCGAGCTGACGCAGAACCTCGCCAAGCGCGCCCCTTCTCCGCCGCTCCGCGCCTCGCGCGGACGAGCCGCTCCGCGCGCGCCCCGCGCGCGCCCCGCGCGCTCAGCGACTGCGCGCGCGCGCTTCGATGGCGCTCGCCCGCGGGTGTGCGCGCGGGCAGGCGGCTCCAGGGCCGAGAGCCTCTGCCTCCGCCGCCCCTGACGTCTTCGCGTGGCGGAGCAATCACGACCGGAGGTCTTTCGCCACTTTCGGCCTCCCAGGGCCCTCACTGGCCCCTGGGACCGTCAGAGAAACGACCCGGGGTGAAACACCGGTTCTGGGGAAGGGGTGCAGCCCTCTTGGAGAGCCGCGCTGTGACAGACCATGACATCGGAGGTCTCACGCGCGCGCCCTGGGGGCCGCGCGGCAGCCGGCGTTTGGGCGGTGGTTCTCTGCCTCTTGTGCGCGCTGGGTTCGCTCTGGCCGTTGGTGCGGTAGGTGCGTCTGGGGGCGTGAGCAGGAGGCGAAGCAGCGTGCAGCAGCAGCCACTGCGTAAGGAAAGAGGGGGGGAATACTAGGAGAAAAAACAAGGAGCCCAGAAGGGCGTCCTGCTCGCCTCCTAATGCTACTCGTGCTCCCCGTGCATCCCATCCTGATTCCTTGCACATCCTCCTCACGCTCCGACCTACTCCTGCCTCCATTTCCTCCTCGAGGTCCTCCTCCTCCTCCTCCTCCTCCTCCTCCTCCTCCTCTTCGTCACAAGCCATCACCACCACCATCATCATCTGCAGCACCATCATCATATTCAGCATATTCAGCATACAGATAATAGTCGTACTACTAACCGTCGGCATCGTCATCACTCATCAGCATCAACACCAGCAACACCATCATAAGCATCATTAGCATCGTCACCGCCATCATCATTATCACCATCATGAGCAACCGCAGCATCTTTACCAACGTCGTCGTCATCAGCAGCATCAGCAACATCAACAGCAGTAACATCATCATCAGCATCATCATCAGCATCATGCACCGTAGTTCACTTATTCGTCGCACTTTCAACATGTTCAGCAACATCTCACAGGCCGTCCTTCTAGGCCTCCTCTTGCTCCTTCCGTCCATGAAGACCGCTCATTTGGTGTCCGATCAGATGGGATCGGATGATCGATGCCAAATCAGAGGACATCAGGCTCCGAGTCGAGCGGCATCGCCGTTGTATCGGCGATGCGGCGCGATCCTTCGACCACGTCTGCTAGGACCCCACCTCTTCCTCATCCCTCCCTCCCCCCCTCTGCAAAGGTCTTGCTTTATGGAAGATGCGTCGGGGGATAATCACGGCCCTGACGAATCCTGTGGTCGGATGCCATCCGCGACGGGGAACCCCCGGGGCTGTGGCCAGCTCGGCTTGCGCGGTCGCCGCGCGCTCGACGTGTAATGTCGTGGTTCCCTGGTGCTTTCTGTGGAGTCCTCTCTTCACGTCGCTGTCTCACCCTCACCTTCCCCCCCCTCCCAGAACATCGGCCCCCAGGCCTGTCTTGGGGTGTGTTCTGGCCAGGGCCTCCAGCCCACGGCGACGAGCAGCCTCCCGGAGGCCCCCGACGGGAGGACGGAGACCAAAGACCTCGACCCCCGAAGTCCTCAGACGTCCGACATCTTATACGGGGGTCTCGCACGGGGGTCTCGCACGTCCCGATCCTTTCCCCGTGCCTTCCCCCGGGGCCAGTCTGTTTCCTCGTGGGTCTTCCTTGGACGGTCCCGGGGACGGCACCGGCGGGAAGTTTCCGTCTTGATTGTTGAGTGCCCTGGAGCTCAGAGTCCGATCCCCCAGGTTCGGCCCTCGACGAAGTCTTGCCTCAGAGGCCAACAACCTGTGTACACGTGCGCGCGGTTCGCTTCCGCTGGAGTTTCTGTTTGGGAGCGCGGAGGTTCGTGCACGCAAGGCCGCGGAGGGCGCGTACACGTACACATGTCGCTGCTCGCTCACTGCCCCCCCCCCCTCGGCCTCGCGGAGGACGCCACCAAGGGGCGCGGGCCCGCGCCTCCGGCCAGGGGGGGGCGGCTGCCAGTGGCCCCCCCCCTCCCGCGCGCGCGCGCGTGCGGGCGCCGGCCCGCCATGGCCTTCGCAGCGCGCGCCCCCGGCCGGTGAGGCGATCCGCCGCGGCCGCCGTGGGTCGGCGGCGGTGGGGGCGCGTGCTAACCCTGAGATCCTGGCGACTCTTACCAGCCTCGAACGTATCCCTATCCCTAAGATTGGCACGCCAAAAGGCGATGACAATCTTAGGGATTCGCCCTCAAACATAAGGAAATCCCTACGATTGGCATCGTGATGAGGAGGTGCCCAGCATAGGGATAGGGATATGTTCCAGGCTGGTAAGACTCAACTTGTTCGAGCCGGGCGTTTTCGCCCTGTGTCGGGCCCTTAGGACCCTCGCAGATCGATGCGCTTCGAAAAACGGCGCAGGCAGATGGGATCCAGGGCTCTGGTCGTGATTTTTTCGGGGTGTTTTTCCATTTGTTCGAGACGTCGGAGCTGAGGGAAGGGATGTGCCCAGAAGGCTTCAGGTCTTGGAGGATTCCTGGATGGGATGAAGGCGACGGTGAAATCTACGGCCAATTCTCTCTGAATGTTCCACCGGCTGCCAGGACGATGTTGATGATGATGATGAGGAGGAGGAGGAGGATGAGGATGAGGATGAGGATGAGGATGAGGATGATGATGATGATGATGATGCTGATGATGACGATTATGCTGATTATGATGATGCTGCCGATGGTAATGATGATGATGGTGATGGTGATGCTTATGATGATGATGATGATGATGATGATGATGATGATGATGATGATGATGCTGATGCTGATGCTGATGCTGATGCTGATGCTGATGCTGATGCTGATGCTGATGCTGATGCTGATGCTTACGCTGCTGCTGATGATGATGATGCTGCTGATGATGATGATGATGATGATGATGATGATGATGATGATGAGGTTGCTGATGATGATGCTGATTCTGATGCTGATGCTGATGCTTCTGCTGCTGATGCGGATGATAATGAATGATGATGATTATGGTGATGATGATGGTGGTGATGATGACGATGTGGAGGAGGAGGAGCAGAAGGAGACAGCGGAGGCGGAGGAGGCGGAGGAGGATGAGGATCAGGGGTTGGAAAGTGGAAGGAGGATCGGAGAGTAGCAGGCAGAGGTCAGTCGGACATGGCATTAGCGGTCTCGCTCTGCCTTGTCAGGCGACGCGCACCCCGTGCGCCAGGGGAGCTCTTCTTGAGCGAATCCCCCGCCTTCCCTGGCAAAGGGAGAGAGGCGGGAGGAGGGAGGGATGAGGGACCCGCCGCTAATGCGAGGGCTGCTCCACACATCTGCGCAAGCCTTCGGTGGCTTCACGCATATCACTGCGAGACAGGGAGACCTTGACGCTTGCCGATCTGATTTTTCAATGCGCGGCACCAGCTCGAAGAAGACAAAACGCCATAAACATACACTTGCGGCGCTCCGCGTGGATTTCCCGGGTCCGCGCGGAGCCCCCCCCGGCGGTGCCTCCGGCGCAGGCCCTGGGGGCCCCGAGCGGACCCAAGAAATCCGCACGGAGCGCCAGGAGTTTATGCTTCTGGCTTGTTCTCCTTCTTCAACCAGCGTTCCCGAGCCACTTCTCCAGGGCGAGCTTTTCGCACCGGATCGATGTTTGCTTCCCCTGAGCCCCATGACGGCCCCGGAGACCAAACCATCGGGGAGGAGCCGCCGGTTGAGATCTAAGACGTGTTGTCGGAGCACTTGCGAGGAGGGAGTAGGAGGGAGTAGGACGATGGATGATGATGATGCTGATGATGATTATGATGATGATAATGTTAATGATGACGATGATGATCCTGATGATGACGATGATGATGATGACGACGATGATGATGATGACGATGATGGTGATGATGATGACGATGACGATGACGATGACGACCACGACGATGATGATGACGATGATGGTGGTGGTGATGATGATGATGATCCTGCTGATGGTGATGGTGGTGATGATGATGATGCTGCTGCTGATGATGATGATTATTGTAGTGGTGGTGGTGGTGTTGATGATGATCATGATGCTGACAAGGATGAGGAGGAGGAGGAGGAGGAGGAGGGAGGCGATGGAAAGGAGGGAAGGACGGAGTTGGGATGAGGGGGGTGGGAAGAGGAGGAGGAGGAGGAGGAGAAGAATGGTGGATGAGGGTCGAGGAAGGAGGAGGAGGGCTGATAAGGATGATGAGTATGATGAGGAGTTTGATGATGATGCTGATGATGATGATGATGATGATGATGATGATGGTGATGGTGATGGGTGATACCCGATCCCCCTGGTGATGGGTGATGATGATGATGGTGGTGGTGATGCTGCTGATGATGATCATAGTGGTGGTGATGATGATGACGATTATGGCGATGACGATGACGATGGCGATGATGATACTGCTAGTGCTGATATTCATGATGATGCTGATGATCATTACGACAATGATGTTAGTAATGATGATCCTGCTGATGCTGATGATGGTGATGACGATGATGATGATGATGATGATGATGATGATGATGATGACGATGATGGTGCTGTTGATGTTTGATAATGGTGATGATGCCGATCAGGAGAAGGGTGATGATGATGACGATGAGGAGGATGGAAACGGTGACGATGGTGATGAAGTGTTTGACGTTGTTAGTGATGGTGGTGACCGATGATAGTGATTGTGATGGTGATAGTGGTAATAATGATGGTGATGGTGATGGTGATGGTGATGGTGATAATGATGAGTATGCTAATGATGCTGATGATGCTGACGACGATGATGATGCTGATGATAATGATTATGGCGACGATGATGGTGATGATGATGCTGATGATGATGATGATGATGATGTTTTTGTTGAGGAGGATGATGCTGATGATGATGAGTAGTAGGACACTTATGATGACGATGACGATGTCAATGACGATGGTAGTCTCGAGTGTGACGGTGGATGACGGTGATGATGAGGCTACTGTTGCAGCTGGTGCTGCTGCTGCTGATGATGATGATTCTGATAATGATGATGATGATGAGGATGATGATGCTAATACTAATGATGATGCTGCTGATGATGTTGAAGATGATGATGATGATGATGATGATGATGATGATGATGATGATGATGCTGATGTTGATGGTGATGGTGATGGTGATGGTGATGGTGATGGTTATGATGAGGAGAAGGGTTGAGACTGAGGGTGAGGATGAGTATGAGGATGATGATGCGGAGGAGCAGGAGCAGGAAGAGCAGAGGGTGAGGAGGGAGAGGAGGATGGATGAGGAGGAAACGGATGGAGGAGGAAGAGGAATGGAGGGAGGAGGAGGCGGAGCAAGGAGGAGGAGGACCTCCCACTGCGCCCCTGCCGCGGAGGATGGCCGCCCCTGGTGACCCTGCCGCCAGCGCCAGCGTGATACAGTGCGAGGTGACCCTCGTGCACGAGCACGCGCGCTCCGTCCGAAGGCCCTGGCCACCTCCCCGCCCCACCCAGACGCTCCTGAGCAAGAACTCTGAGATCCGAGCGCTGCAGTTTTGCTCGAACTGGTCGTGGGCTTTCGGGCCCCGGGACCATCACAGACCCATCCCGCCAGAAACATGCGCAGAAAGATTGAGTCTAGGACTCGACTCTGGCTGTGATTTTGTCGAGACGTAGTGTTTTCTTGCAACGTCGGGGGAGTGAGCCCTGACCTCCGACTGTCTTTCCTAGATTTTGCAACGTCGGGGAAGTGAGTTTGCATTCCGGGTGTTTTTCCTCGATTTCGGCCTCTTGGGGCCCGTTGGGTGAGCAGCGGGGCCATCGGAAGTTCATCCGGAACGAGAAAAACGACCCCCGGGGAAGGGATCGGCGTTCTGGGGCCGCGGATTGGATACATCATGTCGGAGGATGTGTGGGAAGGGACTCTGGAGAGAAGGGGTCCGCAAGCTGCTTGTCGTGTTCGAGCTCCCCGGGGCCCTGGAGACGGCCCTTCGGGACCGTGGGAGAGCCAGCCAGGAGGTAAGGCCTGTTCGTAGTTCCCGGCCCTGGGGTGCAGCACGGTCCTCCTGGTCTTTCTCTTGCCCCCGGACGGGCATGGTGTGCCTGGGCGTCCGCGATCGCGACCAGGGTGCAAAAACAAGGAGGAGGAGGAGGAGGAGGCGGG